TAGAGGGTCTGGTTTGGGAGTCTAGGGGTTATGATCATTCGAAAAAGAGGTCAGTAGTCATTCTTTTTTTTTCAACCTCTTCTATAATTCTCTTGAAGTTTTTCAAATAGTTCTCTGATTGATTCTCAGACGAAGCCGGGTAATGGCCCCGGTATCTCAAAAGAAAAAAAAAAGTATTGAGAATGCCTTAGGATTCAGGGCACTTCTTGCAACTCGTTTTAAGGTTTCTTTAATGCTGTTATATTCACGGATTTGCGGTTTTTCGATGCCAGAACGACGCTGGCCGGAGCTGGGGGGTTGCCCTGTAACCTATTGATCGCAGGAGCGTGAGGCCTGGTAGAGAGATCTGGGGATGCCTTGGGCAGGGCATTCCATGGGAAAACCAAGGGTTGTTGTCGGGACAACGCTGGCCGGAGCTGGGGTGAGTTGTGTTGCTCTGTAACCTAGCAGGGTGGGGGCATGAGGCCTGGGAGAGCTCGGCAGGGAATAAGGCAGTGTTAGAGAATTTTAGAATGTTTTGTTGGGGATTCCACGGGTTCAGAGCATTCAAAGGACTTTTTGTGGCTTTCTGTTTTGACTTAGCAAGTGCTGCTTGAGTAGCCTAGCAATAGGTTAACAGTTATCCTTGTTTTCCTAAATTTTCCTGAACCTTTTCTCATAGTTCTCAGATTGTTCTCAGATTGTTCTCAGCCAGGAAATGACCCTGGTATTTCAAATCCTTTGTATAATTCTATATGAGACGCTGGGCTCGGCTCCCAGCACGTGTTGTTTCCCACGAATAGACTGGAGCGTTTGTCCCTTCAAAAAAAAAAAAAAAAAAAAAAAATTTTTTTTTTTTTTTTTTTTTTTTTTTTTTTTTTTTTTTTTTTTTTTTTTTTTTTTTTTTTTTTTTTTTTTTTTTATTTTTTTTTTTTTTTTTTTTTTTTTTTTTTTTTTTTTTTTTTTTATTTTAATTTGCGACATTTTGAAAGTTAGTGTGCTCCTCTTGCTCTTTCCTTCCTCTTAGCACATTTTTTACCCGATGTGGGGTGGGAAAATGCTGCCGAAAATTCCAAAAAAATAAATACTCTCTATCTCCTCACTCTTTACATTTTATTTACTTATTTATTTATTTTATTTTATTTATTTATTTATTTATTTTCTTAATCATAAAGGCTTCATCTATTGGTGGGGAGCAACACCTGCTGGAAACCGGGTCCAGCGTCCCATAAGTACATGAATGATACAAAAAAATGGTATGCCTGAACCATAAAGTTGAGATGAGTTGTGCCTCTTCACCCCCACTCCCTTCTCATCTATTAGTCCTAAAAACATGAGAAATCATTCATACCATCTCCATCTACCTTTCAACTTCATTCATACCCAAACCAAGCCCTTGAGACTAGACTTAGAGCCGAAGGGGGAAAGGGATCTGGAAAATCCAATAATGGTCGTAACGGAATGGCTAAGTTATTCTTTTATTTTATTTTTTTCTAAAAAATTCACTGTTTATTCTATTTTCTCTCCCCCTCCCCTCTATAGTTATTATTTTTTTTTCTTGATTAGGTCGCCGCTACCCTCCCCTGACCACCTTAACTTCGGTTAGGGTTTTCTCAAGGTTTTTTCTAGGGTTTAGGGTTCTCCTAACCCCCCCCCTACTCTCCCGCCTCCTCCCGTCGGGCACCCTGGACCCAAACGGCTCCTCTCCCCTCGACCGGATTCGCGCCACCATCTCACGCGAGACCCGCTGGTCACGGGGCAAACCGACCCACGACTACCCACTCCGCTCTCGCGGTCCCCTCCCTCTCACCGGTGGTCCTTTGTCCCCATACCACAACCCATATCTCCCCCCACCTCCCACCATGTCTACTTCTCCTCCTCCACCGCCCACGGAGAGCACTACAACCGAGGAGATCGCCGCGACGCAGTCCACATCCCAAGTTACCGCGCAGTTAGCGGCTCATGATCAGGCCCATGCGGACACCATGGACCTTCATGTCGTCCTTGTAGCAATTCAGGCGCAACTTAGTACGCTTGGACCATTGCAAGTGCAAATCAATGCACTTGCCCTTGACGTCAACCGCCTCAAGGGCTCTCACCACCGCTCTCCCCTCCACTCTCATACCCCATCTCCTGCCGGCTCACCGGCCGGTTCTCCACGACTCCGGCGACACGGACGTGGTGGTTCTTCCTCCCCTGTGGCTCAGGCCCAGCACTCCCACTTAGCAGTGGTGAGTGTCGCCGCCGCTCAAACCACCCCGTCTATTGCGGCACCTCCTTTGGTCCCTGCCACCGCAAGTGCTGCGGTCCAGATACCACCATCTGGCCCAGCAGTTTCATCAACCCACACCGGCGTTGCTTCCCAGCTTCCTACACCGGTCGTGGCATTACAACTCCGCCCTCTTCTTCCCGCCTTCATTCCCCTACCCCCACAGCAGGGTACCACCCAGGTTGGGACTCCTCCCACTGGGAGACCCGCTCCGCCTCCTCCACCTCCGACCCGCGCACCCAGCGAGTGGCCACTTTACAGGCCACCATTGCACAGGCTCAGGCGAAGATCCTGGCCGTGAGACAGCCTCACCCTTCACAGGCTGCTCACCCTTCTTCTTCCTCTACCACCTCCTCGACCCCCATCATGCCGGCTCGTTTCCCTCGACCGGCTCCTTAGCCTCTCCCCTCTTACCTAGCCATTCCGGGACAGTCGCCCGCGGCCGCAGCAGCCACGACCCACAACATTCCCCCACCTCTGCCCCTGCAGCGGCTCCGACTTACGCCGCCGCAGTGCACTCGCCTCAATCTCTCTCCCCCCGCCATCAGCACAGTGGACATCCTCTTGTGCGCACCTCAGACATTCCCGAGTATGATAGCACATCCCGTGCCTCTTGCTGGTTGCAGATAGCAACGCGCACACTCTCGCTGACGACCACCCGTTAGGAGCAGTGGTGCGATGTGCTCGCAACCAAATTGCAAGGCAGTCCGTCCACTGCGTGGGAGGATCATTATACCCAACGCCTCCACGTGGGTGAGGTCCCCACTCTGGCCGACTTCGCGGCCTTCCTTCAGGACCGCTTCGGTGCTCGTCATGACGCCACCGACGCCTTAGACCGCATCACCCAGACCAGATGGTCCGGGTCCTCTGTACCGGCCGACCTGGAGCGTCACATCAAGATCATTCTCTTTCGTGGAGCAGGCATACGAGGCTGCGCGTCAATACCAGAGGATGTGCAGTCGCTTCTCCGTCTCTCCATCCTCTTCGCGGCCAGCCGCCACCTCCCAGTCTCGTGGTACCACCAGAGGCCGCTCCTTTTTTGCTGGTCGTTTTCGTCGCTCGACTCGACCTGGAGCGCCATTCTCCTGGCACTACAGTTCTCTCGAGTATGGAGAGGACGCCTCAACCGAGCTCGACCCTACCATTGGGGACGCCCCCGAGGACATCAAGCTTCAGGACGTCATCCAGTACCACTTGGATGACGACACTGTCCCGGTGGCTGAGCGCCTGCAGATGGCCATGTCTGCCATGGATCGTGAGCGCAGTCGGGTTGCATAGGCTGGCGCCTGCACAACGGAGCTCTATCCCCTGAGGAGCGTGCCGCCCTTGAGGCCCGACGCGGCTGCCTTCGTTGCCGCCTGGATGGACACACCTCCTCATGGTGTCCATACCATACCACCCTTGATCGGCACTATGATGACATCTCTCGTCAGCGTCGATCTCCGTCCCCCCCCGGCCCCGCCCGGCCAGCCTCACCCAGCTAGCCACGGTGCAGTGTACCACTGAGGCCTCGCACGTAGCCGGCTTCCCGACCACCGAGTCGCGGTTTGCCCCTTTGGCTACCCCACCTGAGGATCCCAAGGACACGACAAACGCAGTTCCCTCTGCCCGTCGTCTGTCAAGGTACCGTCCGCCTCACAGCAGACCGCCGCATCTAGTGCTTCCCCTCCGAGACTTCCGACGCGTCGCGCCATTCATGCAACCCGTTGTAGTGCTCAGCTGGCGACTCGCGATGACGTTGTGTCATCTCTCCTGGACTTGAGCATTCTTCAGGCTCGTCAGGAGCGACTCACGAGACACGTCAACGTCCTGCGTCGTCTTCTCGCTCTGCTTTCTGACCCTGATCGCACCCTACCCATTATCCCTATTCGCCTAGGGACATCTACGAGGGTGTACCGCGCTTTATGGGACTCTAGCTCGCAGAGAGATTTCGTTCACCCTCGAGTGGTTGAGGAAGCTCGCCTAGCTACCTCTGGGTCTCGCTCTCCTATCTCTGTTACCCTCGGGGATAACAAGACACAACGCTTCTTCGATCAGACGGTCCCCGACCTCCACTTCTCCCTCACCCTCCAGCCACCGGATAGTACCCAGGTGCCTCGGCGCTACTATTCCTCTGCATACTTCGACGTGCTGGAGACTGGGTACGACTTTATCCTTGGCACTCCCTGGTCTTGCCAGTTCTGTGGCACAGAGGCCGAATGGGCGACTGAGACACTCATTCTCAAAACGAAGTGTGGTCAGACCCATCGCATCCCCTTCATTGGAACCACGATCGACACCCCTCCTGACCTACCTCCCCAGGACCCTTCTCCATCAGGGTCCCACCCCGACATCGCCTTCACTTCCCCTCGTCAATTTGCTCATTTCATACGACAGGAGGACGTCACGTTCTACTCAGTGAACGTCATGGATCTTCTTCGCTATGATCCACTATGTCCCGAGGTTGAGCTCATCTCTCTGGAGCCCGATCCCCCTGACCCTTCCTCCATCTTCGCGGCTACCATCACTACGTCCACCTGTCAACCTGCGGATACCCCCTCCACGTCCCAGGCCCCTGTGCCGTCGACTGTCGGGTCCACACACACGTCTCGTGCCGACGCAGACATTGAGGAACTCACACAGTTCACGACAGACTTGAAGCCCATCGTTCGTGACCTGATTCGAGAGTACTGCGACGTCTTCCCTCCGTATTTCTCATACAGCGGGATCCCTCCGATGCGCGGTGTTGAGCTTTTTATCCCGCTCGTGCCTGACTATCATGTTCACCATCAGGCACCATACCGACTCTCGATTGCAGAGGCGATGGAACTCAAGCGTCAGCTTGAGAAGCTCCTTCGACTGGGTTTCATTAAACCCAGTAACTCCCCTTGGGGTGCACCTGTCCTCTTTGCTCGCAAAGCGGACAAAACTCTCCGCCTCTGCATCGACTACCGCGGCCTTAACCGTTACACAGTTAAGAGCAACTATCCCATGCCCCGCGCGGATGAGCTGTTTGATCGTCCGACAGACAACCGCTTCTTCACGAAGATCGATCTTCGTAGCGGTTATCACCAGATCCGCGTTGCTGCAGAGGATCAGCCGAAGACTGCCTTCCGATCGCGCTTCGGTCACTACAAGTTCACGGTGATGCCATTCGGCCTCACCAATGCACCCGCCACCTTCCAGACGGCGATGAACGACATCTTCAGGGACATCCTTGAAGAATACGTTCTCGTATACCTGGACGACATCTTGGTCTACAATCGTACCTTAGAAGACCATATCAAACACCTCCACGACGTCCTACAGCGCTTACGCAAGCATGGCTTTTATGCCAAGCTTAGTAAGTGCCGCTTTGCCCAGCGCAAAGTGGACTTCCTAGGACACCATGTGTCTGACCAGGGTCTCCACATGGACGACGCGAAGATCACTGCTATTGCAGAGTCGCCTGTCCCCATATCTGCCAAGCAGCTTCGCAGTTTCCTAGGCCTCACCAGCTACTAGAGTAATTTTATCCAGGGATACGCTAGGTATTCCTACGTCCTTACCTCCACCCTCCTTCGAAAAAACCTACCGTGGTTTTGGACACCCCTCTGCGAGGATGCCTTCCACGCCCTCAAGAAGGCGGTGACTTGTACGCCGGTTCTTCGCCTCGCAAATTTTGATCGCCCTTTCATCGTCACCACTGATGCGTCAGATTTTGCAGTAGGAGCAGTACTTTCCCAGGTGTTTCTCTCTCCTCCTGATTCACCTTATCCCTATGTTCCTCCTTCCCCCCCCCTCCTGCTGACACTGCTTCTCGACTAACGCCTATCCTCCCACCACTTCCCTCCACTGATAGCCCTCCCATTACTTACTCCCCGACGATCGCGGAGGATGGGACTGTTGAGGCTCGTGTTGGGGATTGGCTGATCGCCTTCTACTCCTGTCAGCTATTGCCTGCCGAGATAAACTACACTGTCGATGAACGTGAGGTTCTCACAGTAGTTTATGCTACCCGAAATTGGCATCATTACTTGTACGGGGCGCCCTTCACGGTGCGCACGGACAACTCAGTTGTCCAGGCTTTCCTCACGAAGCCCAAACTTTCCCCTCGACAGGCACGTTGGTGGCGTGACTTATCCAAGTTCAGTGCCCCGATTATCACGTCATCCACGCGACACTGCGGAGTGGCAAGACCGTTCCCTCATACTCCTTTGGTGAGAACGGTCTCGTGTACTGGCATGACAGATCTGGTCAGCTAGAACCACATATCTGCGTTCCCTCCACCGGACAGCTCCGCGTCCAGGCTATAGCAGAGTTTCATGACCAGGTAGCTGCCGGTCATATGGGCTTCCACAAGACATTGGCTCGTGTTTGCCGCCTATACTTCTGGCCGAAGTCCAAGGACTTCGTCAAAGCCTACATCCAGGAGTGTCCTACCTGTCAGGAGGTGAACAGTGCGAACCACCTCCCGTATGGGTTACTTCAGCCCTTACCCATACCCGAGGGTCGTTGGCAGTCCATCTCGATGGATTTCATTGGGCCCCTTCGCCCACCCACTGAGCGCGGTCATGATGCTATCTTGGTCGTCGTTGATCGCTTCACGAAGCGTGCACGTTTTGTCCCATGCCGCTATCGCATTAGCGCCCATGCGGTCGCCGACATTGTCTTCGATCGAGTCGTGCTTTTGCGGATAGTGTGTTTATGGCTCATGCGATCCATTACAGGTCTGAGGATCGTGCAACGGGCCTCCATCTGCCCTGGCCTACAGCCAAGGCCTATTTGGCTATTGGCCAGTTCGGCCTGTGGGACCAGGCCGTGGCCTGACCCCACAGGCTGTGTGCTGTTCCAGTACTGCCCGGTACCACTGTCGGTACCAGGCCAGTCCAGTCCAGTCAGTCAGTCCGCTGGGGGTATACCCCAGCTGTTGTCTGTTTTTCGTCATTCGTCATTTTTGCACTTGTTGGAGTACGTGGGGTGTTGAGTCTGCATCGGAGTTGCGCTGTCCCTTCCAGCTCCATCTCCACTTCCTCCTTCCTCTACCCCTTCATTTCCATCCTGTCGGACCGCCATCCCGGCGGGTCCGGCACAACCCCTCTGTTAGGGAAGCTGGGAGTGGTTTTGGAGGTTTTTTTGGGGCTCGCAGGTTGACTTCTTGACCCACCCTTTTATTTCCGAACAGATTTTCCTGCTCATCAATTAATCCATCCAAATCCTCTATCTGTTCCAGACTGTCTGTTTCTTTTTCTTTCCCCTGATTCTGCGTTGTTGTTGTTGTTGTTGTTGTTGTTGTTGTTGTTGTTGTCGTTGTTGTTGTTGTTGTTGTTCAGTCTGGAGCTCAGGAAATTCTGTACTTGCCATCACCTCTTTTTCCTCTATATTTTATTATTTTCAGCATTACGCCCCTCTATTATTCTCAAGGCGCCATGTGCAAGTATCAAACTCTCTTGGGTGAAGGCGGCGATTAAGGTGTTACCCACTTTGCTGAAGTCTTCCCTTCCTCACTTTCCTCTCCCTTCTCTGCTCGTCCCTGTCCTAACTGTCCCCAAGCGGTGTTCTGAGATAGATGGTCTGTGGTGGTTCCGATCTCCCCCTTTCCCCTTTGCTCCCCTGCCTCTTCCCCTTCATTTTCTCCTTGGCTTTCTTCGCCGTTATGGGCCATTAAGAGCGTATTTTCCTCCTTGGGTATAGTCCTCTTCAAGCAGGCAGGAGCGTTGGGTGGTTGCTGTTTTTCCTGGGCCTGGGAGAAGTAGAAACTTTCTTTCTCCTGTAATTTCTGAGACTACCTCTTTGCAAGGAACCGGCAAGATTTCCCCTTCCTCTATTCTTGATGGTCCTCCCCCCCCCCGACGTCTGAACCTGAAGCAGTTCTTCTCCTCGACTTGCAGCGGTAGGGTCCACGGTAATTGCAGCTCTGGGCTGATTCGCCCGAGTAGCATTCTGTTCCTGTTCAATTTCTCTCTGTTTATTTGGCATCCCTCCCACCTCCTCCTGCGTCCGCCTTCCCAATTGCAATTCACCCATTAAGATCCCTGTGCTTGTTTTCAGAAAATCAGAGGTAAGTGATATCAGGGACCTGAGTGCTGTGATTGGTTTAAAGGGCATGAGTGAGTTTCTTTGTCCTGTTTTCAAACAGGAAACTGCCATTGAGGGCGATTGCAGAGAACCTTCCCCATGTGTTCCAACCTGATCCCCTTATGAGCTTTGCACCATTGAGATGTGTTCGTGGGTCCAGGTCGTTGATGTTTGATCACTCGCTGGTCGGTCCAGGCTGTTGCTCGGTTCGGTTGTGGCAATGTGTTTTGCCATTCCTGTTGTTCCTTTGTTATTATTAGTATTATGATTTTTTGACTTATTTTTTTTTCCCTCATCTTCTTTGTTACTGCCAGCCTGTTGTGTCAGATACCGACTCTGTGCTGTTTCCATTGCTGCCTTGGCGCAGATTGTTGAATCCTGGTGATGATGTGACTGTGTTGCTGACCCCCTCATGAAGGTTGAGCATTGTGCCACATTCTTTATTTATTTTATTCTTGTCATTTTTGTCAGTTGTGCCCGTTTGGTGGATGGAACCTTGTTGCTTTGTGGCAGTCTCCCTTTTGGATGTTGTGGAGGAATCCCCTTGCCCTTGGGCTTCCTCCCCCTTCAGCAACAGACTGAATCTGTTGTTCAGCGGAAGGTAAGAGGTCGCTTGAGGTCCAAAATGACCCCCTTTCTGTTTTGCCTTGTAGGGATCATTTGCATGCTTGTTTCTTGTGTTTTGTTGTGCCCCCCCTCCACCACCTACTCCTTCTCCCCCCCCTCCTCCTCCTCCCCCTTCCCCTCCTCCTCCCCCTTCCCCTCCTCCTCCCCCTTCCACCCACTCTTCCGCCTCCTCCTCCTTGAAGCCCTGATGATGTTGTTGTGGTTGGAGGCTTAGTCTTTGGAGTTTGAGAGATCCTGTTATTTTGTCCCGGAGGTTGACCTGGCGGTTTCCATTCTGCTGGCGGTCTGGCTGCCCATCGGGGATCTCCTCTACCCTCCGAACACCACCCACACGGCTTCCCTCCTCGTGATAACTCGTCAATATATACCCATCCGTTGTAGCCTGGCACTACCGGAAGCCATTTGTTTGGACGCTGGGTATCCTTCTTCAATACTCCTGATCTTGAAGTATGTTATGGGCGCTGGGGGCAGGCGAACTCCGTGTTGAGGTGACCATATGGTAGACATTTGAAGTACCATGGTTTGAACTTATGTGCTGTGTGAATTTGGTACAAGCGTCCTCCCATCTGAAAGGGAATGATATCATCAATGGAAAAAGTGTGATCTTTTGGGAGGTCTAACGCAAGCATAACATAGTAATCTCTTTTGACTACATATATGAAATCCACTATGCTGTATTGTTGGCCAAAGTCATGGATGAAGGCCGCCTGTATTTCTATCGGAATGTCTCTTAGTTCAACCCAGTAGTAGTCTTTGATTAACTGATCTCTTCTTTATTATGGTCCTGTCTTCTTTGGTTGCCATGGGTAGATACGCACATCTGACCCGTCCCACTGTAGTTTCTTCCATTTATCCATTTTGACTTCGTCTTGTTCAAAAAGGCTGAGAACAACGAAGATTGTCCGGGAAACAGGTTGTATCAGGAAAATTCATGAACTGCCTCCGGGCTATGTTTCATTGTTTCCAGTCTCTTGCAGATCCATTTGATCTTGTTATCTACTGAACGATGTGGGTTGTTGTTACAGAAGATCCAGTTACCTGCATGCGTAGTGTAGATCGTGTCCCTCTGAGGCAGTTTGTCTGTCGGATATGATTTCATCAACATTTTCCTCCACCCATGATCAACTACTTTTTGTTCTGTGGGCTGGAGGAAAAGTGTGAGGAAATATGTCCGGGCTGATGATATATATATATATATATATATATATATATATATATATATTTATATTTGTCACAACCCCTCATTTGTTGTCCTCTTCTCTCTCTCTGCCTACGGTTTACCGGGCAGTTCTGTTTGTGACGATATATACTACGACTTCGCTAGCTTCCTGCTACGGTTTTTTCTGGTCAGGTCGAGCGGCAGTGGTCGGGGCCATTACTAGGCGGCCATGCTGTGCCTCTAGTGCCAGCGGCGTGTCTGGAGTGTATTTTTTGGCTGTGACAGACCTTTCTTTGTTTCGTGGATGTTTTGCTGGCTTGTRATGGGGTGTGAACCGAYAGYCTGTAGAGTTTTCCATYTGKTGTGGGTVAGTGRTAGTCTACTTTGATTTTGGTTAAKGTAGATTATCATTTACAGTGTAATCAGTGAGGGGATTCTGCAGACTGTTGAGGGTTCAGCCTCCTGATGAGTCGGTGAAACTCCGACGAAACAGTTTGTCACAGCCCCTCGTTTGTTGTCCTCTTCTCTCTCTCTGCCTACGGTTTACCGGGCAGTTTTGTTTGTGACGACATATATATATATATATATTTTACCAAGTGGGACTTTCAATTTTTCCGCTGGCAGACCTGAACCAGAACGCGGAGGACGTAGTAGAGGACAAAACAGAGAACAGGGAAGAGGAGGACACTGAAGAAGGGCGAGAAAGTCAAGATTCGGTGGACGCGGTAGAGGACGGAACAGAGAACAAGGAAGGGGGGGAGGCAGAAAAGCAGGAATCGAGAAAAGAGGCGGCGAAAGTAGATGCAAAAAGGGGAAAGGAGGAAA